GAAATGTTTGTAGTAAGTTTCAGAAGTGCTGAAAATTGTGTGATCAAAATATGAACATAGATGTCACAAAGATTTCAAAATTAGAGGGAGTTCTACCACAAAACACAGATAAAGGAGTTCAAAGAAGCAGAGCTAGTATAATAGAAAAAAGGTAAAAACACATGAGAGTTATTAAACACAAGAAAGTAAATAAAGGTTTTAGTAACTGAACACCATACAGAAAACATTTTACCACAAGTGATGTTGATAAACTTAGATAATGTCTCATATGGAGTTTGCTATCCATTTTTCTGATACAACCATGATGTAATCTCTAAAGGAAGGATTTGCCATTTTCAAGAACAATCAGGATTTCAAGGGCCAACTTTTGTATCCCCTGTATTCATTATGATTAGTTTTGGCTCTGAAAAATGCATGTGCGCACACACACACACAATACACAAATGTCCTTGCTAAGCATCGGTAGAAATATCATGAAATTACTGTGAACAAAATGCTTACAAATCAAAGTCAACATCACATTATAAAGATTATGCATTATCAATTTTATTTTATTCCAGTATTGCAATTCTTGGTTTAATGCACACAGATCAATATGTATAACATAACACATAAATAGAATCAAGGATTAAATTCACATGATCATATTTATAGTTTTGGAAAAATCCTTTTATAAAACATCATACTTCATGGTAATCTGTATCACAAATTATTTAACCATTTTGAATGTATTCCATATAACTTTGATTTCTTAGTACGTGCTGGACTATGATTGAAAACACAATAGCATATGATAAATGATAAGACAGGTCTACTAACTGAACACATAACAATGTAATGGAAGATATGGACAGTAATGAACAGAACTTAATACACTGATATATTTTGATAATGTCTCTGCAATATTCCTTGCTCCACAGTTTGAACTATGCTCTGCTCTTCCTGACAAATCCATCCAAGTTTTCCCTTTTCCATTTTCCTCCTACATTATTTTATTAAAGATTTAAAAATGGGATTCTTATACCAATGCATGGTTAGCAATTAATTCATATGGAAAAATTGGAAATTTGTTTTCTTACTAATTACAAGTAACTTTTCCATCAACTCACTGCTTATTCTGTAAACATGAATTGTGTGCACACGTGCATTTTTCCTTTGATGGGACAGGAAAGATACTACACAATAAACGTCCTCTTCTCCCCTCAGTCCAATTAAGTTCATACTGGTGCTTCTGAAATCAGCAACTAGAAAAAATTAATCATTCTACTTGGATGTCCTAGTCCTCATTAATTAGTCTCAGGACCTCTTGGTGGAATCCATTGGCTGTCCAGCTCCCATATATTCTTGTCTTCCTGTAGCAGCACCTTGATAATTTTCTCATAGCTCTGTAGCATAACTACTCAGACTCTTGGTAACTAGATATTCTAGTTTTATATCCACTCTATTAGTCATTTCCATGTTGGGACAAAATACTTGACACATACAAGGTTTCAACCCATTGTTACTTGGCTTCAATTACAAACATGATGGGAACAGGGCATGGTGAAAGATGCTCACCCCACCTGGTGGGAACAGGGCACAGTAACAGAAGCTCACCCCTCCTGGTGGGAACAGGGCATGGTGAAAGATGCTCACCTCACCCGGTGGGAATAGGGCACAATGAAAGATGCTCACCCCACTAGGGTGGGAAGAGCCAAGGAGAAGACAAGCACTTCAGAACATGCACACCCGACTGACTCCCTCTAACTAGTTCCTGACTCCTAACAGCTAATATATTTACAAACAGCTTTACTTGTTGATGAAGCCAGTGAAGCCCTCAGAATCTAATTGCCTTTCCAGGGACCCTCTCCCAAACATTGCTGCATTTGGGATTAAGTTGTCAATGCCTGAGCCTTTGAGATACACTTCACATTTAAACCACAACAGCCACTTTCAGATCACAGAATGTAGTTGTGTTCCTTCTGATGCCTCTAAGCAGGAAAGCTTTCAGCCAGATTGCATTAAGGGGACAAACATGGATATCATGAAAACAGCATTACATTCTTCACTTCTCCTATCTATTCTATGATGCTGTGTCACAGGGAACAGCACAATACAGTGCTGATGAGGGATACTAGGGGATAAATCCAGGTCTTGTGTGTACTAGGCCAGTCTGCACCACTAACTGGATCTCAGTCTCTTATTTTATATTTGAAGAGAGCCTTGCTAAATTGCCCAGGAGGGCCTCTAATTTGCCATCTTCTGGGCTCGGCCACTAACATGTAGTGTAAGCATGTAACACCATACTAGGTTTCCTGCTTTTTAACTTAGCCTGAGCATTTAACCAGGTTAAGCTGCATTTTTAAAATCTTATGTCTCTTCCACTAGGCATAACACAGTACTTGCTTTGTCTTCAGCTTCTCTTCAAATATGTGACAAGAACAACTTGATGCACAACTGCATCTATTTTGTCATATAAAACCAGCAATTATACAGAAAAGGGTGTTTTCTACTTTGACAACCACAAGAAACTTGTCAATTTTTTATGTACTGATTTTTCTTATTTCCATGCTCTATCTTATTGTCCAACAAAATACTCATATAAACCCATATAAAATACTTATATAAACTATCCATATATGGTAATAAAAATACGTGACTCAGGCATATACACACAGAAGCTATCATATACCAAACACATACATATGGGTATTATACTTATGTCACTTGTATAGTTTTCACAAGGTTTACTTTTATGTAAATTTTATTTTATTACAATAGTTATTGTACAAATATAATCTAGGAAATATCCATATTGCTGGGTTACACAGAAATGAATAGTTATGAAATTTTTATCTTTCTAGACTTTTAAAAATGACTGAACTGTCTAGTATTTCTGAAACCTTGGAAGATACACTGCTAAATATTAGCAGACATAGTTTCTAAATGGAGAGAAAGCTTTACCAACAAAAAGATAAATCACACTGAAGAAGAAATCAGTTAAGAGAAATACTATAAATATAAATGGTTTATAAGATATCATTTTAGGGGCTGGGGATTTAGCTCAGTGGCATAAGCGCCTGCCTTGCAAGCAGGCAGTCGTGAGTTCGATCCCTGGTACCGGTAAAAAAAAAAAAAAAAAAAAAAAAAAAAAGATATCATTTTAGAGGAATAACATGTAATCAAAAGTTTGCATAATTGAGAAGAACGTGAAAGCATAATTGTCCTAGCCACTGAGACACAGTTAAATAATGTATTCATACAAAGTTTGCCTTTCTTTAATGCTAAAATTTGTGAATCTCCAAAAGAAAACAGTTCTTCACTTCCAGTTAGCATTTTCAGGGATTACCAGGATACCTAATAGTTTGTGGAGGTTTCAGACCATAATCAGCTGTCTCCAAGCTAGGGTGGCATGGCACAGGGGCAACAGTTCAAGGCAACAGAAGATATCAAAGCAATAAGAGCAAAAAGGGGGAGAGTGGGTCTCTTCTACTCCTTACACTGTACGCAGGCCAAACCTACTATGCCTAGTGTAGCACTCACACTATCTCCTGCCCTGCTTTTGCACAGGATGAGGATTTTTATGAAGTGAGGACCTCATTCCCCCTGCTGGGTCACTTAGTTAAACTTCTAAACTTCTCAAGTTGACACAGTGTATCAGACATCACAACACTGTATCTAACAAGAATAACAACTATTGAATGTGATTGCAGTAAAATGTGCAGTACATAAAGGAAATATATATTTTAATAACTAGGAGGAGCTAGCAGAAGGATATGTGTTATGGTGGATGGTTCAGTAATGTATCAATACTTGTTCTGCTTTCATTCTTAAGGCTTCCCCAGCCTAAATGGCTTCTTCACACCATTCTACCTTTCCACATTTTATGCATCTTTCAATGACAAGAACAAATGTTCAATTCTCATGCATTTCTCACCACTTCAGCCTTTGACTTTTAAAATTTCAGAGTCTTCTGTGTGTTCCTTGTCAGTGTTGGTAAAGATGCTCTTGACTATTAATCTGCATTGAGTCATACTCTTCTAAGAACCACACTCACTGACAAGCACAGATTTCCTTGTTGCAAAGCTTTCTGTCTTTATTCAGTTGAGCTCAGGCAGCATGAGTGCTTTGTCCTGTTACATTGAATGTGTGTACTAACCTCTTGGCTTCTTCATATTTTTATTGAAACTTGCTATATGTAAGGCACTGAGCCAAACCATATTCAGTTTATAACTTAGTTTAAAAAAATTGCTACGAATGACTCAATAATTAATAAATATTTAAACCCATGACTCCTTTGAACCTAAGAATAAATACACAGAGTGCAATTCCATCCCAGTAGAAAGAAGGAAGAAATAACTAGGAAAACAATTATCAAAAGTTTTAAGATAAAGCTTTACAGGAAGAACATGAAATGATGAAGCAAATTGTCACACTAATTAATTGGATACTCTCCAGAGCTTCATTGCTATACACTTGAGGGTTGTGGAAATCTGAAATTCTAAAGACCTCCCCATGAGTGAGGGTTGAGTCATGTCGTATTTCTGGCTGACACAATTGCACGAAAACTCTAAGCAAATCCCAGAGGTGGGATTCAACAATTGATAACAAACAGCAATAAGAGCCTGTGTGTCTGCAGCTCAGGCACAGCATAGTGAGTATGAAACCAGAGATCTCTCAACTGAGGAACATATTTACAAAATAACACACTCAATGAGAGCAGGATTTACATTCCGCAGAGTAATTTTTAGGGAGTACCTTTCTGCAGTTAATTCTTACAACCTGTTATGTGCCTCAGATCACTCGTTGAAAGATTCATTCTGAAACAAGAGGCAACAAGAAAACCCAAGAACCAGACAAATCTTCAGTTGAAAAAACTTCTTTTTTTATATACATGACAAGACCAACATGGTGTGCCCTCAATGGAAAATGAATTTCAAGGAAGCAAAACAGCTGTTCACTTCTCTGTTAATGTCTGTTTTGTTGCAAAGAGGCTAAGTAACTAGTCTGCATGAGAGAAGATGGTTTTCAAGCTGGAACACCTCAACGGGACTGTGGTGAGCCACTTCTTCCTGGAAGGCCTGATGTACACAAGGGAACATCCTCGCCTCTTCTTCCTCCTCTTCCTCCTCATCTATAGCATCACGGTGACTGGGAATCTCCTCATTCTTCTAACTGTGAGTGGTGACCCACACCTCTGCTCCCCCATGTACCACTTCCTGGGCCACCTGTCCTTCCTGGATGCTTGCTTGTCTACAGTAACAGTGCCCAAGGTCATAGCAGGTCTGCTGACTCCGGAGGGGAAGGTGATCTCCTTCCAAGGCTGTGTTGTACAGCTTTACTGCTTCCATTTCTTGGCCAGCACCGAGTGCTTCCTGTACACAGTCATGGCCTATGACCGATACCTGGCCATCTGTCAACCCCTGCACTACCCAGTGGCCATGAGCAAAAGGGCGTGCGCGGGGCTGGCAGGGATCACCTGGGCCGTAGGTGCTGTGCACTCTGCGGTCCATACCTCGCTCACCTTCCGCCTGCGCTACTGCGGGCCTTGCCACATCGCCTACTTCTTCTGCGACATTCCCCCTGTGCTGAAGCTGGCCTGCGCAGACATCACAATCAACGAGCTCGTCATGCTTACCAACATTGGCGTAGTGGCTGCAGGCTGCCTGGTCCTCATTGTCATGTCCTACGTCTTCATCGTGATGGCCGTGCTGCGCATCCGCACCGCAGAGGGCCGACAGCGGGCCTTCTCCACCTGCTCGGCCCACCTCACCGTGGTGCTCCTGTACTACCTGCCACCTGTGTGCATCTACCTGCAGCCCCGCTCCGGAGGGCCGGGAGCTGGGGCCCCCGCTGTCTTCTACACAATCGTCACTCCCATGCTCAACCCTTTCATTTACACGTTGCGGAACAAAGAAGTGAAGAGGGCACTTGGGAGGTGGCTGTGCCTGAGTCCCGAGAGCCTCCTGGGGGCAGCACACCCGCCTGACCCAGGAACTGCTGCAAGCCCTAAATCCAGTAGCAGAAATCATTCCCAAGGAAAGCAAGATAACTGTCAGCTCAGCCTCTGATCAAGGGCTCTGATAAGGGGCTGAGCTCTCTGTCACACTCATAAGCTCACCACCTCTAAATGCAAGCAGCAAAGTACTTGTCTCCAAAACCTAAGACACATGGTTCAGAGGTATGTAAATGCTGTTCCGGGCCTCATTCACCTTAGTAGTTTTTTCATGAAATAATTACCTTAGTATTGTTTTATTCATGAAATGATTTTATTAATTATGTAATAATGTCAAAGAACAATGTAAGTAAAAATATAAGGTACAAATTAAAAAATGAATCTTAACCTGTGTATCAGCCACTTTCAGAGAAGTCACAACATTTGGTGGAATGATAACACACAGCTCAGGGAGAAAAGTGACTAGCTGGGGGTCACTTTATGTCTTATCTGTTGCACCCCAGCTAGCAGATGACTAAGGCCATATTAATTGGTGATAATATGGATTTTGGAGACAGCTGAACCTACTGATATTCTAATCCTGATCCCACTCATCATCAGAATTTTGTACAGATTTTATTATTCTTGAAGTTTCAATATCTTATTTTAGGAGTAAGATTGAAAATAGTTATTTTATAGAGACTTCTGAGGTCTAAAGAATATAATCATGTTTTGTGTCTAGTGTAAAATAGTGGCTCTGTTCCCCACCAAGCTGGCTACAGAACTCATAGACAAATTATTATTTGGCTTGCCCAAAGGCGGGAGGACATGGCAGAGGGAGATCACAGAGGATACACAGTCAGTGACAAAGCAGGACAGGCAGAAGAAAGAAAGCAATGAGCCTTGAGCAATGACAACAGTTGCTCCCTGTTTCTTATCTGTTATCCAGGTTAAGGGCTCATAGGCCAAGCACACTCACACCCTTAAATCCTAGCAGCACACCATGAAGCAATCCTACCCTCACATCCTTGATGCCAGCATCATGGTACACACCCTAGATCCAGCCTCCTCTGGAAAGCCTAACCTATGACTCATAAGCCTTTGGAAGGACATCCAACTACAAGCAATAATATGGTCCTAAACCACTCTATGGACTCTAAATGACCTTGACTAACGAACTAAAGAATTTGGATTAGGCTGCAAACTCTAATTCCTCCACAGAGCTGCGGGCACCTTGCAGGCCACGGAACCTAGCAGCCCTGGAGTTGGGCTACCTCTCTAACAGGGGCATGAAGTCTAAGCGAGTCTTCAAAAAGTGGCACTTAAACATCAAGCCCATGGGGACCCTTGAGGGGTCTCACCTTTTTACTTTTACTTTTCTTTTTCAATCCGTGAGACGTCACATGTATAAATGTTAAATCATGTAGTAAATGAGAGAAACAGAGAAAAAAAGATAGGCAATAGAATGACCAGGAAATAAATTATTATAAAATCTTAGAGATAAAAGAAGAAAATACATTTTAAGTGAGGGTGATGAAATTAGAGATAGAGAAGCATTTTGTAGAATTAGAGTGGAGATATTTTCAAGGAGAAAAATTGAACAACTACTAGAATGAGATTAGTAACTATAATCATTCTCAACGTTCAGAGCACTGTACTAGTTGTTTTACCTATGTGAATTCACTTAGAAATTGTATTTCAATATGATAAACGTCATTTTTATGTCATTTTACACATAAGAGAAGCAACATCTAGCAAAGTAAAGTAACTTCTATAAGGCCAAACAAATAATAATAGATGTCAAGGATTTCAATTCAAATCTTTATGGTTTCGAGACTATACATTTCTATTACACAACAGAACCTTCAGGGTAACCAAATCCCAATCCCATTATATCCAATTATATTAATGTTATCAAAGTCGTTTTAGGTTTTTAATGTAGAGACATTCTCTTTGCAATAAAGACTCCCTGAGTCATCTGTATATGGGGGTCTGAACCTTGTATTTCTGGAAAGGAACAGTATATAAGAAAATGACAGAAAGAAAGAAAATGAAAATAGAAGCTGTTCCCAGAATTCAGTTCTTTTTACCCTGGCCTAGTGTCTCAGAGCTATCAATGTATCTGTAAGACCTTGAATAACTCAGAGAAACTCATCGTTCCATCAGAGTGAGTTGGAGCCAAGTAGAAAATATGGGCAGTCAGTTATCAACTGGAAGATGGGGCTGAAATGAACTATGACACTGTCCACATCATTCCTCAATGTTGTCAGGAGATGGCCTCCTAGAAATGAAAACACACTTAGAAGAAGATTGTAGCTATGCAATTTCTTTCCTGTGTTTTCTCTTCTGATGAAGACCACTGCAAAGCAGCTCTGAGCAGGATTTAAAATTAACTAAATGGCTTTCTGTGTTTGAGAATCTGTCCCAGGCCTAAGTCCCTTGTCTGGAGATGCACAGTGTAGTGTATTCATAGTAAGCGAACCTCCATGAGTCACTGGTCCTGGCTGAGGCCTTTTGTGGCCTGTGATGCCAACGACATGTCAAAGGACAAGATAAAGGCCATAGCTGAGGACACCTGACTCCAACCCTAATTAATTAAATAGAGACTGCAGGCATCTCAGTCCTACTTTCTCAATTCTGCCTTAAATGCCAACCTGGAGATAAGGTAGTTCTAAATTAGCACAATGTGCTACTTGGATAAGTCTTTGAACTGACTCCCAGCAAAGTTTTTTGTCTCAGCTCAAAGAATCTTGAATCCTCTAGAAGGTTTTGATCCTCCTAGACTCCTAAAAATCACACTGCTTGTCTCATTTATTTAAGCCTTGACCATCTACTCGTCTGAGAGGTTGCAGGCCTGATCAGTTCGCAACACTCTTCCTCTCAGTTTTGGCTTTGACACTTTTGTATCTGCCTGTCCAGCATGAGTCCTCCACTCTTGAATTCTGCTCCGCTGTCCTCATATTTGTTTGCTTGGCAGTGCCTATCACTCTGTCAGATCATAAGCCTTCAAACAGCGTTCACTGGTACCCTCCTCATCCTGCATTGTTTTTTATGTTTCATATGTATAAACACATTTTAAGAACTTTTAAAGTCAAGACCCTTTCTGCGTGCTAAGTGTTCCAAACAGTGATGTTCAGTAAAATAGTTAGCTTAGTAGAATATTTATTCAGTTCACTGTTCAAGATCTAGAAATAAAACAAAACACAAATACATTCTTCACAATAATGTTACCAATTAGGAATATTTGCTTCATCATAAATAAGAGCCAAAATGAATGACAGATACTGGAAAGTAGGAAGAAAATGTTCAAATGGGAAGGGAAAGGGGAGGAGGAAGGAAGAGAAAAGGAAAGAAAAGAGAATTGAAGGGGAAAAGTGGAAACAAATCCTTTGGAAATAAGGAGAGGTAGAAGGTTTGAAAGGAAGAGAAGTAAATGGGGAAAAAAGAAAGTATGTCATGTAATAGTACAAATTCTTTATGATGAATGTGATCATTATGTGTATCAAAACTGTACCAATAAAATTAATTTTTTAAAGCAGAAAATAAACAATATTCGCTTTGGTAAATCACTATTGGAGATTGGGCTGTACAGGGTTAAGGTGCAGGGACCTCTGGTTGCGTAGAAACAGAACTCAGGCACAGTGCTCTGAAGTCAAGATAACACCACAGGTGAGTCGGCCGAGGAAGGAGGATGGGCTGCTGATGCTTCCTATTCCAAAGCAATAAAACTGTCATTTTTAGAGATCAAACAGTTCTCTTAACTGGAAAAATTTGCTACTTGGAGAAGTCTTTGAACTGACTTTCCAAGGTCCTGTTCAGTTCCTGCACTTGCCTAAGTCACCCCCTCCTTTGTTTGAAAACCAAATCACTACAGAATGCCTACAGTTCTCTGCCCCTACTCTCAGAGGGTTTTGACCTTCCTAGATGCCCCCAAAATCATAACACTTGTGTCTTTCATTTAAACCATTCATCATCCACTTGTTTAGGAGACTGGGGATTTAGCTCAGTGGCATAAGAGCCTGCCTGGCAAGAGCAAGATCCTGAGTTTGATCCCAGATACCATTAACATTTCAGACTGCTGTTAAGTAAAATGAAGCTCTATAAACAACTGTTCTCTCCCTTCATTGGCAGCGGAGTAATTTACTAAGTATCTTTTATGTTTAGAATATTTTATTATCTAGCATAGGCAAGTCTCTAATTTTGAAGCCCTAGCATTGCAAAAAGAGGTCAGTTATTTGGTTTTTATGGAAAAGCTTACATTGACTTGCATTTATATTATTGATGTTTGCCAGGTGAATTAAAGTAACTGCCTCAAACAGAAAAACAGAACAGCACAGACTGCAAAGATGTATAATACAGTAACCGTTGGCCAGGAATATAGTAGAAATGTACAAGTTTTCTAATCAAGTGCTCCAGAATCAGTGTTACTATTTTTTAACTGTGAAAGATTGCTATTGAGATAAGGAGTCCAGTCTATGGGTAGGAGTCCTTGAATTGAAACCTTTATCCATCACACACATACTCAAAAATTGTAAGTTCTAAAATGCAGAATCAAGTTATATTTTCAAAAAATAATCACAACAATATTGCTCATCAGAATATCAATTATTGTTGCCTTGTTCTTGATTTTAAGGTAAAAAATTTAAAATTTCATAATTGTGATATTAGCTGTAGGATTTTCATAGACATCATTTATCAGTGACCTACTATTAGTGATTTTTTATCATGAACTGATGTTGGATATTTTCCATTATTTTTTGTTAATCTACCAACATGATCCTATGATTTTTCTTTTAAAACATGTTTCTATGGTAAATTAAGAGTTTGGTTTTAAAGATTAGCCAATATGCATTTCTGAAATAAATTCCAATAAGTTTATATGCATTATTCTCTCATATGCTGTTGACTTTGACTTACTAAAAGTTGGCTGTCTTATGTCTTGAGTGATATTAATTTATAGATTTCATTTAGAAAGACAATATTTCGTCTACTTTTGTCATCAGAAAATACTGACCTCATAAACTTTGATGGTAAGTAACCAAAAAGCATTTCCATTTTTCTGGAATTGCCAATATTTCTTCCCTTAATTGTGCGATAGAAATCCAGAAATAATGGTATTGCTATACTATTTTGATTTGAATAAGAAATTAATATGAAAATGCTTTTATATTAATCCATCTAGTTATATTTCTGATACTCT